CCCCCCCCCCCCGTGGTGCCAGAGAGGTTCGCTTTCGAGGGTGCGAGTACGTCAGTGGGACAAGACTGGTCGGTGCTTGACCGGGGAACGGTTGCTGCTGCAGGGGATGGAGGGGAGATCGACCTGTGGGTGGCAGCTCTCGCCCCTTTTCCTCAGGATGTCTTCGCCCCGGAGCTCGACATGGCAGGAAAATGAGGCCGCTACGGCCGCCGCCGCCTCCCCTGCTTCATGTCTTTTCAGTAGGGGCTTCGACGATGACATGACAAGCGTTGAAAGAGCAACGTCGTTGACCAATGTCATGCACCGGAGGAAATCAGCGGTACCCTATGCAGTAGGTGCCATTACCGGCAGCAAGGCACACGTCACATGCATGGCGGCGTTGGTTCTCTCGTCGATCGCGAAATCTAGAGTCCAGCGAGCGTTTCATGTCCCGATCGAGAACCCGTATTGCTGTAGGGTCGTCTCGTGGGCAAATTGTCTTTTCATCTCTCTGGAGGACGTAGGGATGGAAGGGCGGGTCTCGTGGATGCGAGCACCATGTGCGGCCATGATTGTGCATACAGGCTGCTGCTTGGTGGTGGGAGAAGCGACACGGTTGTACAACTTATTTGCGACGAGTTTTTGGCCGATTCCCGGCCATTTTTCTGTGTTACCTCTTTTTGCTGCTGGCATACAGCAGATTAGATGTGGCAGCTTCTACAAATCTTGCACGCGGTGGGTAGTAGTAGTATTCGCACCCTCTCTTATCACCAAGTATAGGTTGCCGTTATGTAACAAATTATTTTCGTCGATCCCCGGGCGCCATGCTTAGAGGAGATTTTTCGATGTTATCTTTCATTAACGAGAGATGGTCAGTAGGCATAAATAAACGTGTCGTTTTTATCACCAAAGGTAGCGAACGAAGTGGCACGTGAGAGGTTTTCTGGCTCGCGTTCCCTGCCTTGTTTGGGCAGGGGATCGGGAGCAAAATTTTATTCTATTTTGGAGATCAAAAGAAATTCCATTTGGTACCATGAGGTGCATTTTCTTGCGATTTGTGTCACACAGAGTTAACCCAACTGCTGTAGAGTAGTATTGTGTGTGTTCGGATTCGAGAGACCCTACGGCTGACTACAAGGAGCGTCGGGCGGCGGGGCAGGGGGGGGGGAGAAGGGTGTGAATTCTTAAGGACCAGTGATACACGCTGTCTTTTTGATACATTTTCATGCGGTGACGTGTTTTGCAGATTGTAGAAGGTAGGTGTAGACGGGATTAGCAAAACAAGCAAGATCCGATCCGATAATACGTTGTGCTGCCTTTTTTTTTTTTTGCGGAAGTTGTCCATGGTCGTTCTCTTCAAGGAACGGTTTTTCTCGTAGCACACGACGTGTTCCCTGATTGTGGTTTGGTATGTGTGCGTGCTCTCGGCACAATGCGCGCGCGAGCTGTAGGACAAGGTCGCCGTGAACTTGGGACTACTACGAGGGTTTTTGAATTAGAAGTGAACTTATCTCCCTTAGCTCTCATCTTTGGTTTCGATATTGGAATCGCTCGTCGGAACCAAGACCCCAGCGGTTGCAGGGCTTGGTTTGATTTTACAACGAAATATCTTCCTTGATCATACCTAATGAGCGCTGCTCAGCGAAAATTGCAAGACGGGATCGCCGAGCGAAGTCCTCGAGAGCATTTGCTCGTCTTGTGGCTTCTAGAGCAGCCATGCTCAAAGACAAGAACTTGGGCAGCTTGAGATTACGGAGCAGAACAAGCGTTTCGCACGGCCTTCAAATCACACAGCCATGGTTGTGACGTGGCTCACGACCGGAGTCTAATGGTACTGTACTTTCCCACACGGATCTGGAATGCTCATGACAGCAGCTTGGACAGAAGCCCACAAGGAAATAGTTGTACCTCTCTTTGACCTTGGTCTAGAGAAACAATCTCGACATCTATTTACCTCTACATAACAAATCTCCATGGATGCATCGCCGACAAAAAAAAAAAAATACCATTTCTACTATTCGGCGGCACGACCAAGAAGCCAGGAAAATAATACCTCCAAGAAAGGGGTGTCGACCCAACCCTCGAATGTAAAAACTACCACCACATGCTTCCTATGATATTGTATTATAAGAGATGACCTCTAGAACAACGCATGAATGCGACTTTGACCGCAATTAATTCCAGTACAAACATGAAGGGGCAACTGACAGTAACGTCTACGCCACATGTGTTTCGGACAAAGCAGGAAAGCAGGACATGCTCCGCCAACGAAAACGCATCTATGTCCTACAGGAAGCACTTCGCTTCTGTCCAACCCTGGAGGGAAAAAAAAAAAAAAATCCGAGCAACAGTCAAATTACACCTTGCCCCAAGGACACCGCCCGGAAATCTCAGCGGGAAAGCAACAGATTATCTCAACCAATGTTCCATCTCCGACTTGCTCCTAGCATTCCAAAACCGAACCCCACAGCAGCAGAGGAGGCGGCAACAACACCATCTGAACACAACCCAAACGCCAACCGGAGCACACACATCGCCCAACAAACAACGAACGACACCAAGAAAACGCCTCTGCTGAACGAAACAAGATAAATAAACGAGGAGATTTTGACCCGAATCCCGCGCCCGCGGCCGGCGCTGTTGCTCTCTCAAAGGGCGGGCTCCACGGACATTGATTTCATAGTCGATACCCGAGGGACCGAAACGGCTAACAAGGCATTCACTGCTTCACGGGGTTCCCGGTCCCGAAATACTCAGCCGTCGACACGACCACATGAGATGCCTCCCCGCCCCCCCCTGGAAGAAAGGGCCGTTTAACGCACAGCGCGTTTTGCTTCCAATCTCTCCAAATCTCCAAATCCCGACTCTCCAGATTGAACGAACTCGTTCCAGATTTTCGGCGCCCGTAGTTTCCAATTTTTTTCCGGATTCCCAAATATTTTCCTCGGCCGCAAAACGAAGGATCAACGGTCTACGGATTTGGAAAATTTGAAAAACTTGGGAGCAAAATCGCCGTGTATAAAACAGCCCCACAGCAGGAGAAGAAATTCCTGTATACATGCTCGCGTTGTACGATGTCCATCGCCCTCGTGAACATGTACTTCTTTAGGCCTTCTCATGCCGCCATATATTCGAGCCCCCCCCCCCCCCCCCCCCCCCCCCCCCCCCCCCCCCCCCCCCCCCCCCCCCCCCCCCCCCCCCCCCCCCCCCCCCNGTGCCGAGCTTTCGAGCACCAGAACAGATGTGTGCGCCTTTTCTCGCCAACCATATCGCTCGGCCAAAGCCGCGGTGTGATCGCAGCCCACAAATCCTCTTCTTCCTCTTTACACACGGCAGTGGAGACGCCACCTGTGACTGGATACTTGGAAGAAATCTTGGTTTGTGCTCAGGCCTTGCCCTGGACCACCGCGTGCGTCAGCAGCATCACTACACAACTAGAAAACGATGTGTCGAAGAAAGAGACATAATTACTTGAGGACACTTTTGAGCCCACCCACCCACCCACCCCCCCAAAAAAAATGCCGAGAGGAGCGGAATCATGGCCATGATGCCCCATGTCCTCGACTTCATATCGATCACCGAAAGGCGCGGCTGAATCCTCCTTATCGCGATGACAACATCTTAGCCAAGCAGCCCAGAAGGAAGGTGAGAAAAACAAAAAGAAAATTCCCATGCGTACGTGAACTTGTCTGTCCGGTGCGTCCGCAGAAACGTCCCGACAGGTGTGACTACGTGCGTACCAAGGTCCAAACCAAACAAAGGGATGGCACACACATATCCATACATGACATTAAAAAGGGGAGAACAAGAAGGAACAGCAAAAAAACGAGAAACAACAGTTTCCGCCTTGTTGTCTCTCGCGGCCTCCACGATCCCAGAAGGTATAACGAGGTGACGTGTTGTCGCCGGGTTTTTTGAAAGAACCGTTCTTCGAAACGGTTCTTTCAAAAAACCCGACCAAAAAAAAACTGCGGGCACCTTTTCTCTCTCCGCGTAATCCTGGCTCTTTCGGCGTGACATATAGTAAAGGACAAGCAACACGAATGGTCATTGCTCCTGTACATATACACACGTTGTCCGTCGTCGACAAACAACATACTACCCGCCCGTCACTTCGACTACTATTCTAGGTTTGTAGGGGGAAAAGGCGCCCAAAATACACACCAACACTAAATCTACACGACATTCTCCACAGCACCGACGTGAACGCTGTCGTAGAAAGCACACGAAATAAACAAAGTATCTAGCAAAGTGAATGGTAACACGCCTGGAGTAGCATGACTCACGTCGGCGGAAATAATGAAACGCCGTCAACCACCAAGGCAGTCACAAGCAGAAACTACATGCAGGCGGAGGGGAACAAAAAGTGACGTAAAACGGACACCCCCAACAAAAACAGTCCCCACTAAAAAAGTTTCACCACCGTCCAGATCCATTCGGCGATACATGCCATGTCCTCTTCTCACACAGGAAAGTAAGTGGCGGGAGTTGCACTGTCTTACACAACGGTGCTCTGCTGTCGGGACGTCGCGCCACGATGGTGGTTGGTTGAGTGGCGTGCTAGTCGGTCGACCCCCCCACTCCCCTGCAGGCTGCACGCCCCATTGCTTGCGAAACACAAAAGTTCAATGTCACACCTACACAGCCAGCCGAGGGATGGGAGAACAAGCAAAACTATCGTTCCGCACAGCAGCCCCCAAACACGTCAAGTGCACAACCGAACACAATGTCTTGTCACTTTCTCTTGTCAACGTGCTTCCTCAACAGCCTGAGTGTCCGCTGTCACCTACACCTACACCTACACCTACAGCCTTCAAGCTCCTACAGCCTATTCTACAACCGTTCACGCCTCGTATTTCTTGCCTCAAGCCCACGACAGCCCGCATCAAACGACCACAACACATCCCATTACAACACAGCCCATCGCCGTCGCAAACCTGGGGGAGGTTGGCTCAAAACGAGCGGGAGATGGGCTGCAGGGCATTACAAAAGCACACACACGACAGGAACACAAAACTGCTGGTCGAATGTAGAAAAACCACCTGCTTGCATCCTAAAGAATCGCGTCGCCTGCACGCAGGACGGCGATCGCGGAAAAAACAAACAAAAAAGAGGGGACAGCATACTGCAAACAAAACATCCTCGTAAATACGTTCTACCCCAACTCCACAAGACAATAACACCATTCGCGACACCCCTCCCGCCCGACTAAAAACGAAATCGCGACTAAAGACAAACACAACGCCACAAGCCTCTGGGCGACAACGAGAACCGAATGCCACACTCGCAGACCTGCAGACGACACCACGTCGACGGCGACGCCGTGCAGTGCGCAGAAAACATCTCCTGTGCCTCTACCCTCTGCTTCAGGAGCGTGCCGTTCCGAATCTCTTGATCCGGCCCCCGCCCCCCCTCCCCCCGTTTGAAAAGGCGGGAAGGGATATCATTAAGGATAGACAGACTAGGGAAGACATTTTTGAGCCACCTTTGGCAAAGTAGGAAGGAACGATTGACCATCAGTGATCGGTCCTGTGGGAACAATGCTCCGTCCTCTCGAGGACGCGTGGTCAATGGTCTAACCGCTAAGGCATGCGAAACATAAGAGTACATAAGAGTACGCCCCCCCCCCCCCCCCCCCCCCCCCCCCCCCCCCCCCCCCCCCCCCCCCCCCCCCCCCCCCCCCCCCCCCCCCCCCCCCCCCCCCCCCCCCC